GGTGTAGGGCAATAGAAAATACGGTTTGTACAGTATAAAAACCATTACGCCTATGGAGAGTCCCCATAAACCATAAAAACAAACATGTGTGTGTGTGTGTGTGTGTGTGTGTGTGTGTGTGTGTGTGTGTGTGTGTGTGAGTGTGTGTGTGTGTATTTTTGTATAGTTCTTATTAATTTAAAGAAAATTAAGCCTAATTTAAATCTATAAGAAAAAGAAGCTTAAAAATGTCACAATGCAAAAATAAAAACGTATTGTTCTAAAAAAAATAGCTTTGTTTAAGGCTTATTTCATTTTTTATAATTTTTTAAGAATGATAAAATTATTTTATTTTTGTATTACTTTACAAAACAAACAGACTTTCCATGGTGCACAGAATTCAAAGGGAAATTGTTATTATTATAGTTAGCTAAAACTAAACATTAGATTTTAACACAGTAAACTAAATGTCTTTACATTTTTAGAAGATTTTTCTTATAGTAAAAAAGCAAACCAGAACAGTGTAAAATTCACAATATCACAATATTTTTCTTTCGATCTTTGCCTCCGAACTACATTTCCCACAATGCACCACAAATCGCCGACAACTTCCAGGAAGTGTTAGTCTGTTATTGAGGATGTACACTTTATTATCGGGTCTCTACAAATATATGTTTCAAAAGGACGAGTATTGCGTCCTGATCCTCGGTCTGGACAATGCTGGAAAAACGGTAAGACTAGTAATGAATAGTTAACGCCTCCTTCGCTAATGGTATGCTAGTAGTAGTTAAATTGTTGATCAAATTGTTCAGAAAACGCATTCTGATTTAGTAGCATTTTTGGGTTTATGAGGCACAGTAATCCTGCCTGGGAAGGTGCTGTCTAGGTAGGCTGCACACTATAATATTAGACTAAAATGCTCACTAGTTAGGTAGCACACTAGGTTTTGCTTTTATAATGCATCTGTTTCTGTTAGTAGGCAGCTCATTTATATCCACACTAAATATGATGCCTAGAAGTGAGGTTTTTATGTTGACAGCTCACTTGACATGTTGAATATTTTAGACTTTTCTGGAACAAACAAAAACAAAATTCAGCAAAAACTACAAGGGCATGAACCTTTCGAAGATCACAACTACAGTCGGCCTGAACAGTGAGTAATGTAATCTTTTGTTATTTTCAGTAATATATTTTTGTTCAATAATATTTTTTATTTTGAGAGAATTTCAAGGTACTAATTAATATTTATGCAATAATTATGATAATTTTTTCCCATTGAAAGTAATACAGATTTCTAATATTGTTATATTACTTTTCGATTATGGCAGCATTTCTTGTTGAAATAGAGACAATGCCTTTCAAATCAATTTTTGAAGGCAGATTAGTGGGAGTAAAAAAAGAAAAACATCTGCAATTCCATGGTTTAGCCACTAGATTCCTATTCAGCTCTATGTAAACGGCTTATAGTTGTTTTTAGACATAAATACTTATTTTTATTAAGTTGTAGATTTGGGTATATATTTAGACATTCTCAAATACAGCTTTTTGTAAAGGTTTAGATTTTTTGGTTTGAAATGTTAGTTTTTGCATTAATTTTTCTATTAAGGTTTCTATTTTGATATTTTAGTGTCACCCCTTCATTGCCGTGCACTGTTTTTCTGCATCGTGAATGATTTGAATATTGTACACAAAAATTGTATTAATTTTTTTCCGTATTTTTGCATATTTCCCATTCATTTCCAATGGCGGTCATTTTTTATTTTTGCTAAAAATGCATTTTTTTTACGACCATTTAGCTTTTTTGAATCAAGTCCACGATTTTTTATTTATTTTTTTTTTTTTGTGGTCACATAGCGACTGCCATAAAAGTCATCGAGTTTTGTACCATTCTGGTGAAGTAGCATTTTATTTATTTTTTTCAATTTCAAAACTTTTTTTTTTTTCCGGGTCTAAAATGACCGAACACCACCAGAGGGTTAATTAATTCGTCTTGTTGATGTTTCAGTCGGCACCATTGATGTGGGAAAAGCTCGTCTGATGTTTTGGGATCTTGGAGGACAAGAAGAGCTGCAGTCATTGTGGGATAAGGTGACGCACATTCACTAAATCTGATCCTGCTGCTGTCATTGCTTCTGGAGAGCTTGTTAAAGCTTAAAAGAGACATATTATGCCCCTTTTTACAATATGTAATATAAGTCTCTGGTGTCCCCAGAATGTGTCTGTGAAGTTTCAGCTCAAAATACTCCACAGATCATTTATTATATCATTTTGAAAATGCCAATTTTGAGTGGAAGCAGAAACATGCTGTTTTTCGGGCCTGTTTCTTTAAATGCAAATGAGCTGCTGCTCCCCGCCCCCTTTGGTAGAATAGAGCTGTGCCTTTACAGCTCGTATCTGCTAAAAACATCTGTTTTGGTTCTGATTATCATGTTTATCGTGCTGAAATCATGCGTTTTAAACCATATGAGTTTAAACTTCTGATACACGGTTTTCTGAGCGCACACATCTGAAGCACACGCACAGAAAGCGGCTGTCACAGCATGTGAGCACTAAACTAAGTTCTCATTCACACAAGTTTACGTTAAAAACACACGAGTTACAAAAACAGTGGGTTATGTCTGTGAAGGTAAACAGCTGGGAAATAAATCGCATGTTTATTTTAGATCTGTGTGGCAGCAGCAATATACAGTAAATAAATCAATAAATGCACTGCTCTGTTGTCTCCTCTGAGGCTGGTACTCTAAACAGTGTTCTGTGCTCGTCTGTGCAGCCAAACACAGAACACTTAGCATGCTTCGCTCAAACTTTGGCCATGGCTTTACACTGTTGTCGCTTGCGAAATTACCAGGGACCTGATTATAGCACTTAAAACCTGGAAAAGTCAGATTTTCATGATATGTCACCTTTAAAGCTTGAATGCATTGTGAATACATTGAATATCTCTTTCTAATGTGTTATTTATCGTGTTTTATCTGTTTCAGTACTATGCAGAATCTCATGGTGTCATTTATGTCATCGACTCCACCGATGAGGAGCGACTGGGCGAATCGAAGAACGCTTTCGGTGAGTTTTACTGCAACGAGGGATCAGTTCAAACCCATACAAGCAGCAGCGTTATTCCATAGCACTCTGATGAGCATTTAATCAGCTGCTCCCATGCAAAACCTATTATACTCAGTAAAGTAAATGAGATGATTAGATCAGTCTTTAAACAGCACGTAAACACAGAAACTGCAGACGTAGGCCTGTCGCAATTATTGGCTATTCAATCTAATCACAATTATTTGAGATAACTGCAATAATTAAATTTCCAAATATGTAAGCATGTAAGCACTTGCACAAAATGTAAGCACTTAAAAGAAAATGCATCAAATCCATGATATTATGTCTCCTTTTTCTGGTCACATCACTGAGAAGCAGGAGAGTCATAATCTGGCTGCTAGTAAAAAATAAAGAATATAAACACTGTTATAATGTGTACAAAAATAGTCAAAGGTCGTCCTTCATATGAAAAAAATGCAGGCTTGTTTAATCAGACTGCATTATATTATATATATAATGTATTAGAAATAATTAATTATATAAATATTATTAATTTTCACAACATTAAAGTAGTTTAAAAGTTAAAATTAAAGATAAAAAAAAAGTCCCTTCCACAAATTAAGGTCTTCAATCAAAGTTTTTCATAAAGTCATGGCATTAAATATTGCATGCACTGCAAAAAATAAATATATAAAAATCTTCCTCATTATGGTCGTTTTATGATACAAACATCTAAACTTCTAAAAAAAAACAAAAAAAAAAAACATGACATCTAAGAAATTTAACAAAATTGAGTTATACGTAAAGAACAAATATCTGTCAGTGCAATATGAAAATTGAATTAAGTAGATTTTTCTGCTACAGTGAATTCAGAAGTTATTGAGATCTGCTGGAAGTTGTATTTTCATACTCTGAAGAGCTGCTAATTGTATTCCCACTAGACATTTACATTTAAAGGACATGTTTGAAGCATTGTGTTCCCTTCAATTTATTCTTTACGTCTTCTTTACTTGGTCTTAAATTGGTCTCTTCCTGAATCAGTGTCTAATGACTTCATGTTCCCGTCGTACAGAGAAGATGATCAGCAGTGAAGTTTTGGAAGGAGTTCCTCTTCTTGTGCTGGCGAACAAACAGGACATAGAGGTATGAACTCCAGACCATCAACTTATAAAAGTGTGCATCATCAGTCCATCACACATAACCACATCCTTCTGGGATAACTGTCATCTCCCAGTGGTCTGTAGGTGGTGCTGTGCTCCTTTATTTCCACACTGAGTTCACAAACAGTCCTGCTTGTCTTCTGTTCCTCAGAACTGTCTGTCTGTGTCTGACATTAAGACAGCTTTCAGCGACTGCGCTCCCAAAATCGGTAAAAGAGACTGTCTGGTGCAGCCCTGCAGTGCTTTATCAGGGTACGTCTGGCCTCGTTTGACTCATTTATTATTCAATGTTGTGTGTGGAAGTGGAAACCCCGCTGCGTTCAAGCACTCCAAAAAAAATAAATAAATAAAATGTTGTAGTTATGAGAAATGCACAAAAAACTCTTGTGTGTAGATTATTTGCTAACACTTTACTTGAAGTCTTTGTGTAATGCATACACCTTGTAATGCTTTTTATCTTTTCATAAATAGATGTACCCAATTTTAAATGCATTCAAATAGAAGGTTTGTCGTGTGTTTTAATGCATTTTACTTTCTAAAGGTGTAATTATAATTAGGGATGCACCGAAATGAAAATTCTTGGCCGAAACAGAACAAAATGAAACACTGGGCCAATTTTGCCAATTTTTGTTTCACCGTTGCATAAATTAAAAAGCCAAAATGTGCTTTTTACTGTTTTGTCTTGTTTTTCAAAGAAAAAAAATCAATTACAAAACAACAATTTAAAAATATTTAACACTGAACATTTTTAACATTCTAGCAGACACTATACCAACAAAGCACAATTTAACTTAAAATTAATAAGTTCAGACCCCCTTCTTGAATCAGGCATGTTTTTTTAGTTTTTTTTTTTACTGTACAATTAAAAGCAGCCTTGCTGAGAAGAGACTTCTTTTAAAACATTAGAAAATATTACAGATCCTAATTTGAACACTATGTGTGAATGTTATAATAAATGTATTAAAACAGAGCTGTTGTAATGATTATTATCATTATTATTGTCTTACTTTTTATTTTATTTTACAGAACAACAGTAAAATTACAATACTAACATTTATGAATGTTGATAAGAGTTCTTGCTTTTTCTCAACTTTTATTTTGGCGGAAACGCGCAGGACCAGTATATATATGAGCAATATCACTAAAATGAATTTTATAATGGATTATATATAAAGGCTTCACGTAAAGTGTTATCGATTGTTTTTATATGTTTGATACTTTGTTGGCAGTATAAAATGAATCATGAATATTGCAGTGTTTTTAAAGCATTACCACAATTCTAGTTTTACACTTTTTCCTTCACATCTTAAGTATGAGAGCATTAATACATAAATATTTTAATATAATTTCAGATTTAAACCTTTGTAATAATAATGCTGACAGAATTGAGAATTTTACTTCTGCAAATAAGTTCAGCTCAAAGCTCTGCTTCAGTGATTCATTCGTGTCACGACTCTGAAGTCATCGCAGAGGTTTGCATGTGCAATTTCACGAGTTTAGAATAAGTTTCCACACAAATATGAACTGTTTTCAACGCTGATAATAATCAGAAATGTTTCTTGAGCAGCAAATCAGCATATTAGAATGGTTTCTGAAGATCATGTGACACTGAAGACTGGAGTAATGATGCTGAAAATTCAGCTTTGATCATTTTTTATCAATTACATTTTAATATATATTCACATAGAAAACAGTTATTTTAGATTGTAATAATATTTCACAATTTTTACAGTATTATTGATCAAATAAATGCAGCCTTGGTGAGCAGAAGAGACTTATTTCAAACATTTGGCTGGTAGTGTATATCTTGGTAAATATTGCTGTATATTTTGTTATTTAATGCTAAATGAAAATTATTAAACATAATTCATCGTTGATTATTTTTAACTGGTTTTTACTTTATTACTTATTCCTGTAAATGTTTTGATGCGTATTAAAACCGTGTGTGTTTTCTGTATGGTTGTGTTTTTCAGGCAGGGCGTGAATGACGGCATTGAATGGATGGTCAAATGTGTGATCCGGAACATTCACCGGCCACCCAGACAGAAAGACATCACATAGAGCGACTTCTGTGTGTGTGTGTGTGTGTGTGTGAGTGTGTGTGTGTGTGTGTGTGTGTGAGAGAGAGAGAGAGAGTGAGTGTGTGTGTGTGTGTGTGTGTGAGAGAGAGAGAGAGAGAGAGAGAGTGTTTCTCTGTAAATTCAGAGAGTGGATGCAGTTATCATACCACATGTAAGTTATGATATTATATTTGGGTGATACTCAGAGTTTGATATCTGTGTTGCAGACATTGTAGCTATTTCTATGCTAAACTGACACTAGTTTTGTTTTCTGATGAGTTTTTAGGTTCTCTGCTAAAACCTTCTTTAAAATCATGCCTTCCAATTAAATCAGTCATTTAAACGTAATGAAGACATTCCTCATGCAGCGTTTCAAGAGACCCAACAAATCAAAACCTAATTTCTAATTACTAACCAATTCTATAATAAACAGCAGAGTTGGAAATGAAAGTATATGTGTCTCGGTTTAATCAGCATGACAGATGTTTTCCCAACCCTTACAAATTCAGGAAATGCCTTATTCTGTCAGGACTGGCCTTTATTGATTTACTTTTGTCTAAGCTGAATGCATTTTGCATGAAGGCAGCGGTGAATCAATAATCGCTGCTCATGTAATGAATGTTATTACAGCAGCAAGCATCACATCTGTGACCTCGGACACTTCAACCGTTCGCTTGTGTGTGTGTGTGTGTGTGTGAGAAAGAGAGTCAATATAATGTTGAACATGTGCCTCCTCTCTGCTCTGAATGCACATACTTTCAAGACCCAAATCACCAGACATTCCCAGTTTGTGTTTAATCAGCTGATCAGTGGTGTTTAAGGCAGACGTCACTAGTACTGTAGCTCATATTTAGTGTTTTTTTTGTTGTTCAGATCTCTAACACTGAGTCTTAACATTGAGTGCGTATACAAGTGTTTGAGACGGATGATCTAAACCTGCTTAAATCAGGCTGTTCCCTTGTGCTGTTGTTTGAGGACAGCAAGCCACTCTTCGCACGCAAGCCTTCAGGAGAGGCATGAATTGTGTATGAAGACTTGTGTAATAGTGCATCTGCGGATCTGGAATGGAACTAGAATATTAGCGGTGTTACAATGCAAAAAGTGCAAAGTGTTTGCAGTATTTTTTTTTGTGTGTCTTGTTTTAAATATTAAATATTTTTTCTGAGAAAAAAAAAAAAGTTTCTTTAAGCAAAATTGTAAGACTTAATTTTAGAGAATTTATCTTGAGTTAACTTTTTTCACTCTATTGCAAAAAAAAATTGTTTATTCATTTTTGCCAGATGAAAAACTTCACACTTAACCTTTCATTTTTTGTTTTTTTCTCCCTTTTTTATTTTGTTGATTTTTGCCAGATGAAAATTGTCCCAGACTTTGAATTTTTCTTCTTTTTCATTTTTTTTATTTTATATTAAACATCACAGTGCTTAATTTGGACTAGTAAGCAATTGCATAGCAGCATGTGAAAAGGCAAAAAAATGATATCAGGACTTGATTATTATTTGCTCCCCATTTGTTGCGTGTGACAATTTTCTACTTTTATTCCATCTTAATTTACAGTCTTGATCCATTACATAAATCCCAGCAGTCTAATGCATGTAAGTGTCAGTTTCAGACCAATAGCTGATTGGAAAAGCGATCAAATGTTGTGCGACTGAATCCAATATATCTTTAGTCTTGTCAATGATGTATTGATTTCTTCAAAACCTCATCGACCGGACCAAAGACATACAATACACTATTTAAATAGACAACGATATCTAGAAGCATTTACCAGATACAGCAACCCAAAATGTAACAATGCACATACAAAATGCAACAAAATATCAAAACAAGCAAACAAATGCTACAAGAACTTTTCTCAACCCAAATGACTTATAAACTGGTGTTTTGGATATTTTTAGTGTTTGATTGCTTAAATATATGCATAACTTGTTCTTTTCGAAGGTGTATGCGAGCAGTAAAATTAGCTTGTTTCCAAGACAACGGCACAATATCACTTTATTATTCTTTTTTCTCATTTTATCTCTTGATCTGACAAAATTGCTGGTTTGTCAGCAATGCCATTTCTCCATTTCTCTCTTCGTCTCTCGTCCTCTCCACCTTCACCTCCACCTCCCATCCATCATTCCTCCCCTGATAATACGGACCACTTGCTGTGCGACACTCCTTCAGTGCTTCACTCCGTTCATCTCTCCGTTCAGCATCCATCCGTCCTCCGGCAGCACTATGGACAGCACAGTTTCAGGTAAAACCCAGAATAATCTCTCTGCAGGAAGGATGCTGAGAGATTAGGGAGATTTTTGCACGAGTTATTGCGTGAGATTGCATGACCCACCGCTGAATCACTTCTTTTAGCATGACATTGGCACTGGTGAATATGTCCTCTGTCATGCATGTGCGTGCTATGCTATGCTATCTAAGAGATGAGATCGTTAATGAACAGATCCATTTAATAAAGGGTGTGTCTGTTTGAACAACACTGTTATTGTGTGCTGATGCTGAACACTGCAGATGTTGCGCTATAAAAAACACGGGTTCATTTGGAGGGTAGCGGTGCTGCAAAATGTGGCGCAATATTGTAGATGTGACTGTGTGGGTCGCATTCAAACACATACAGGCAGGATATGTCAGGAATCAGTCGTCCACTATGTAATCTCATGTTGACTTTGATAAGACCTTAAAAAGAACCTTGAGCAGCTGATGACCGGAACAGCTCTGCAACACTTAGTTTGCATTGTTTTTATCTGAATTAGCTGTAGATCATGCATAAATAACAGGAGTAAATTGTGCACATTATATTGTGTGGTTTGCTCAAATGTCCAGCAGACAAAGCAGGATTTGAGTTAGATTTTCTATCTCGGCCTTCTTGCAAAGTCACCTCTCCTTTGAGCATGTCATGGGTGATAAATGAACATGCTCCTATGCACACTAACTTAGAGGAATAATTAAAAAGCACCATTAGCTACTGTAATTAACACTAACATTTAAGGCTGTCCCTTTTGCATGCATGCATTTGCAATTTCTGATTCCTCAAACCATGTTTCTTGTGGAGGTGCATTGTGTGATCATCATGACACAGAGTTCACATTCACGCAAACTCAGTTAATTATTTTGCTGACGTGCGATAACCGGATCAATAATGCATGAATCAGGTTGAGGGTGGGGTTTGAGTTTTGATGCCGAGCGTGTCGACTGCAGCCTGGTAACATGCTTGCATTTATGCATTTGCATCGCTTTTAAAATATTTCATGTTGCTATACTGGTCAGTTCAGGGAAACACCTCTACATCTGATTCTGTAAGATATTGCCGTAATACAGAATCTTCCTTCCTATTTACCAATAACAGAACATTTCCCATTATTAATGTAATTTTTAGTCATGTTTTCAGTAGACATTTCAAAACATCTACTGAAATTTTTACAGGGTTTTTAAACCATTTTACAAAAACAAAAAAGATCACACTGCTCAAAAGTACACATTCTTCCTCATTATATTCTTGTTTTCCAGTGCAAATGTCTAAAAGATTCTTAAATCAAGATACATGTACTTGAGAAACAAATAATATAAAATATATAAACATTCTGTAACTCTCCAGACACTATCTTTCCTAAATAGTATGCTAGTTAATAACTGGTGTCTAAAATCATAGCATGTTGTAGACGAAAGGTGTCTATACTTTACCCATTGCATGTAAAGTTCTGCTTCGTTCACCGCATGCATATGCATCACTGATTTGTTGTCATATTTGCTATATTCAAATAATTTCTCTCTCTTTTGCAGCCTACTCTGAGAAGCTGAGAGAGATGTCGGTGTTGTCTCTCCTGTGCTCTTGTTTGTATTCCCAGCCTCTTCCCAACACCTTCCCAACTCAGTTTGAAGGTAGGAACTTCAACAGCCAAACGGCCAATGATTGAAGGCCTTACTACGAGAATATTTAGGTTTAAGTTATGCATCACATTCATTGTCCTCATCATCATTCCTCCACAGATATGGAGGTGAAGTCGCTGAATAAGCGAGCTTCTGGTCAGGCATTTGAGGTCATCCTGAAGAGCCCTACTGAGCCGTCTCCAGAGAGACCCCAGACTCTGGCACTGCCGCCCCAGAAGAAGGAACCTTCCCTGGGGGAACTACAGAGGAGGCTGGAGGCCGCCGAGGAGAGACGGAAGGTAAGATGATGCCATTAAATATCGCTTTATTATTTCATCTTTTGAAGTGTTTTTTTTGCGGAGCACTGCACATAAACTTGTAAAAAGTACTGGTTTTACCATGCTTCTTGGACATTTCCTTCTTGCTATAGTAGAGTTAGTCAACAGGATGTTTCTTGAGCAACACATCCAGCTGACTGGAATAACATTTAATTATTTAGCAGATGCATTTATCTATTGAAACACGTTAATGAAAAGCAAAAGCACATGGGTAACTGAGAATCTTAAAGGTGCTTGCATATTTTCGTATTCATCATTCTAAAAATTTGTCATGCACAGAAACCTTGCACGATGCGTATTAATCCGTTGCGAAAAAATTGGCAAAACAAAGTTCTGAATTTTTTTATTACGGACGAAAGTTTCGGAGGTAGTGTGTAAACGTGATTGACACAACGCGAGCACAATTGCAAACAATACAGTCGAGATCTCATGACAGAACACTGACTAGAACTCTTCCCTCTTAGGGGATTAGAACTCTTGATATCTGGCAACCGCACTCATGAGAACTTGCGTAGTAGCTTGTACAGCAGTCCATAAATAACATTTTGTTGAAAATAAAAAGAGGTTTTTGGTAAAGTTTTTATCTTTTTGAATA